ATTGAATAGAAATTCCTGAAAATGGTCCACATGTTTTTATCGTGATACAGATTACAAAATGTTCCGTATGCTTCTAATTTCAGCTTATATTTTACTTGCGCTGTCACTTGTGTTGGAGGAAACCTGCTTAATACATCAAATAAAAGTAAAAACTACCAAAGAACTGAATTTTATCTTTTTAGCTGAGGTCTGGAACAACACAGATTTGATAACTGCTTACAGAAATGGATGTGAGCAAAATAATGTTCGACCTTTGAGTAAAGTTTTGAATCAGCTGCAGGTAAGATAAATAATCAGAAACATTTTCAACTTTCGTTCTGTTGATTTAGAAACTTTGCATACATGACTTTCACAAGCAAGAAATTATATAAATATATAGCTGGAATCACTGATTTGAGGCAATAAGTGCCACGTTGGTTAATTCACATCAGGTTTGTTATTGCTTGTCACTGATATGTTGACAGGACATTTCTCTTCATACCATTTGATTTCAATGCATACTTCAGCAAATGTCCCAGGTTCAAATTCTTGTGCCAGTGTGACAGTAGAAATAGTGATATTGGTTATGCTGAAAAGTTCAGGACAAGATTAGAAAGGAAGAATATGTTGCTGTGAATAAATTATTTGCATCATTCACTGTGAGTGATAAATGTATAAGTATTCATACATGGTTTGTTTGTGATTTTCAGGGTATTCAAAATACAGGAGAGAGACATGAGCTCCTTAGTCTCAAGGGTATGTATATTGTAATTAGGCTGTCTTAGCTACAGAATTTTGAAACTTGGTACATGAAATTAAGAACCAGGCCTGTAAAGAGGTACCTGGCATCAACATTTAACATATCCTATAGAACACATTCAGTTAGAGCCGTCATTCAACATTTACATGTAGGAGTTTTGAGTTTATCATTTAAAAGGTAAGACAAACTTTGTTTTTATCATTTTCAGCTGAAAAACTTGACATTCGTCACTGTGAAAGTCTCGAGGAGGTCCTCCGGAGGGTGCAGTTCAAGTGTATTGACTTGGAAGCATGTCATCTGGATGATGAGGTAAAGCACTATCATATCAGGTGTTATTGTAGACGATGTAAAGCACTATCATAGATATCGGGTGTTATTGTAGACGATGTAAAGCACTACCATATCAGGTGCTATTGTAGACGAGGTAAAGCACTACCATAGATATCAGTTGCTATTGTAGACGAGGTAAAGCACTACCATAGATATCGGGTGCTATTGTAGACGATGTAAAGCACTATCATAGATATCGGGTGCTATTGTAGGTGAGGTAAATGGTTGTGGATTTAAGGGTAAAATGAAGAGTACAAAACCTACAAATACAATGTTATTTTACAACAAATCATAACTTAATGCAAATAGAAAATGAAACAAGAGTTGAGAAAAATAACTTCCCCTCCAGCATTGACAAGTTTTTCATTAGCATAAACAACTAATAATACCAAACAACTATGTGCGATGAAAACCCTGTGTTCGCATTGCATAGTTTTCCTAAAAGTAAAGACATTTTTAACAAGGACTAAAGTCTTTGGTTTTGTCAAATGTATTAGGCAGCAGCCCAATCTAAAATGCTATGCTTGAGCTGAAGAAGGCGATCTCTAAGCTCTACAGATTCATGTTGTCATCTTTCCACGTGTACATGTTGTTGTCAGTGGTACACAAACTATACTGAACAAAAAAAGAAACGCACAAAGTTCCCCCCTGCAGTA